ACACCATGGCTCAGGACGGGTGACCTACTCCAGGACACTTAGCTCATATGTGGCAGGGCTGGGATTTGAATCCAGGCATCCTGGCTCTAGAGAAGCAGTTATATAGATAAGAGGGGGATGGGGGTGGGGTGTGGGAAGTAGGTAGACTGTTCTAGAATCCAGGCTGAGGGTCCAGCCTATGCTAAGGCCCTGCATCCGTTTTTTTGTTTTTTTTTTTTTTTTGAGATGGAGTCTCGCTCCGTCACCCAGGCTGGGGTGCGGTGGCGCAATCTCGGCTCACTGCAACCTCCACCTCCCAGGTACAAGTGAGTCTCCTGCCTCAGCCTCCCAAGTACCTGGGATTACAGGCATGTACCACCATGCTGAGCTAATTTTTGTATTTTTAGTAGAGATGAGATTTCACTGTGTTGGCCAGGCTGGTCTCGAACTCCTGACCTCAGGCGATCCATGCGCCTCGGCCTCCCAAAGTGTTGTGATTACAAGTGTGAGCCACTGCACCCAGCCTCCTGTGTCTGTTCTAGGAGCAGAGGGAAGGTTGTGTGGCCATATGTGATGTCCCCGCCTTGGAGGCCCTGGCTGCCGCAGTGGCCTGGCCTGTGTTCTCCCAGCCCTGATGGTGTCCTCTCCCCGCAGGCGGTCAGGCCGGGTGCAGCACTGCCGGATCCGTTCCACCATGGAAGGTGGAACCCTAAAGTACTACCTGACTGACAACCTCACCTTCAGCAGCATCTACGCCCTCATCCAGCACTACCGCGAGACGCACCTGCGCTGCGCCGAGTTCGAGCTGCGGCTCACGGACCCTGTGCCCAACCCCAACCCCCACGAGTCCAAGCCGTACGTGTCTGAGAGTGGAGCAGGAGGCAGGCGGTGGTCGGGTTAGCTTCTCCAGGCAGAGAAGCCGGCCTAGTGGTTCAGCCAGGCCAGACCCCCAGGACACCCTCGCCCGGGCCCATCAGGGTCTCAAAATTGCCGAGGTGGCGGGTTTCCAAATTCCTGGCACCATGAGCTGTGTCCTTTTCTCTTTTCTTTGTTTCCTCCCCTCTCTTTTCTCCTTTCCCTTTCTTCTACTTTGTCTTCATAGCCCCGACGCTTTGGGCTTTGATTTTCAGAGGGTCATTCTGGCTCAGGATATCCTCCTACCTTTCAGAGCTCCTTCCTGTTTGTTCTGAAAATGAACAAGAAAACAATGATGGTAAAAGTCTCCCTTTGATTTTTTTTCTAGTGAAATGAGTATCAAGGTAGGCCTTGCGAAGGGTCAACAAATCCCGGGAATAAAGAAAAAACCATTTTTAGGCAGAAAGCTGCTAACATGTACATTTCCGAGGAGGCCGTAGTACTTATAGCAACTTTTTTTTTCCCCCCACTTTTTCTGTCAAATTTTCCTATGGATTGCCTCTTAAAACTTGCTATTTCTTATCTTAAGAAATAACCCGAAAACTACCCAAAATCCTGTGAAACTCCTGCTGTGCTATCTTCAGTTTTCGGAGACACGTGGTAATAACTGTGCCTCCTTAGGCACCTGGCTTTTCAGCTTTGGGCTGCTTGGGTGGATGAAAAGAAGTCAGTTTTTTGAGACTGGGTGTTGCTCTGTTGCCCAGGCTGGAGTGCAGCGGAACAGTCAGGGCTCACAGCAGCCTCGAGCTCCTGGGCTCAAGTGATCCTCCCACCTCAGCCTTCTATCTGGGACTACAGGTGTGTGTCACTGTGCCCAACTAATTAATTAATTTATGTTGAGACCGGGTCTTGCTCTGTCTCCCAGGCTGGAGTGCAACGGCACGATCTCAGCTCACTGCAACCTCTGCCTCCCAGGTTCAAGAGATTCTTGTGCCTCAGCCTCCTGAGTAGATGAGATAAT